CAGGCGGGAGACTATCATGGCCTGACCGGGGGCAGAGGGTGTGGGGAAGTGGCTGGCTCTTAGAAGCAACTTTTCCTGCTTACATTTTAAAATATGATTCTCTGCAGAAAAGTTTAAAAGCACTCTTGAGAATGAGGAAAACTTGGCTCTTGAGCCAGACATGCAAAGAACAAAAAACTTTGGGCCTTTCTCTTAGCAAGAAAAGAATAGGCAAGATTGAGACGAAAGATGCAAAAACTAGGTTTCTCCCTTCTCCCTTTCTGGAGTTTTACACAAAGGACTCATGAATATAAGTGGGCGTTCTTTCTTTTCATGTGAGGATGAAAGCCGTGTTGCAAAGATGGCTGCTGCTCTCCATCACGTTTTCAGGTTGAGAAGCAGCCACAAATTGCTGCATGGCTGTTCTAATTACCAAAGAGCAATTAATGAGGGGCACAATCTCCAAGTTACAAATGGGTAGCTGTTTTAACCTCTGAAGAGGAATCAAAGTACAGCCAGTATTTCCTGTTCACCTAACAGAATACAGGCCATTTCTTAGTACAGGAAAGGGGAATAAGGTTTGACTAGCACATGGAACAAAATCACATACAGCTTTTCAGACACCGATGGCTTCTTTTAGTTTTCAAAAATATCAGCACTTTAAGACAGAGAAGCTTCTAGCTCTCACAACTTTGAAGAAGAAAAAAGGATGATGTGTGGACACTTGGTAAAAGCACAGGAAATCCGGATGCCAAGGATGTCTGAAGTCTGCAAATCTTCCTCTCCTTTTCCCATATCTTAAAATGTTGACTCCTTGCCAAAATTGTGCTACTACGTCCCTTCCCAACCGATGAGCAAGTCAGTCTATAAAAGGAAAACAAATTCCAAGAAACCTGTATGCAAATTAAGTTACTATAGCAAATTGATCATTGTGAAAGAGAGGGAAGCTCCACAGCTTTCAGTTTCAAAGTGATGATGTACAATGAGCTGTACAGTTGCAGTGTGCAAGCAGCGTAGATACTTGAGTCCTATGCATAAAATGAAAGATATTTCTCTTTCTCCTCCTCTCCTCCTCCTCCTCGAAAGGAGATTTTTAATATCTACAGTCTCATCCGAAAAGCACAATGGTAGCCCTATGTAGATACATTTCTGTCTAACTGAAGCCCTTGTGTTAAGGTCTGAAGCCCCAAAGTAATTTTCCCTATAATTACCCCTGATGCAATCCAGCCATCGGTGTCTCTCTCAAGGGAAAGAGCTTTGGATAGACAATAGTAAACATGGGCTGGCTACAACGGTGGCAATGTCCCAACGGGCAGTGCAGCAATTCCAAGAGACTTCTGGGTAAAGTGATTGGAGTCAGGAACTTCAAATCTAGAGTGAGAAAAAACAGGTAATGACTTCAAAATATATTCACAGGTGTCTTAACAAAGGCAAGATATATCTCATGTGTGTTTTAAGAACTGTGCATACTTGACAAAAAGAAAACAGGAGTTCTGGTGGCACCCTAGAATGAAGCAGAGCAACACAGGAGGTAAGGATGAGTTTGATGGATGAGTTTCAGTTATTGTGGCCTGATGACGTGGACAAGGTGCTTGGACGAGTACGTACCACCACCTGTGTACTGGACCCCTGCCCATCATGGCTACTATCCAAAGCCAAACACGGGATTGGTTCCTGGATCCAGGAGGTCACCAACGCTTCTTTGAAGGACGGCCGGTTGCCTGCACCTCTAAAGGAGACGGTGGTCAGGCCAGTCCTAAAGAAGGCATCCCTGGATCCAGAGATGGCCGCCAATTATACACTGGTGGCCAACATCCCGTTTTTGGGCAAGGTGCTGGAGCAGGTGGTGGCGGGACAACTCCAAGCTCTCTTGGATGAGACTGATTATCTGGACCCATTTCAGTCCAGCTTCAGACCCGGGTATGGTACTGAATCTGCCTTGGTCACCCTGTATGATGACCTGTGCGGGGAGAGAGACAGGGGGAGTGCGTCCCTGTTGGTCCTCCTGGACCTCTCAACAGCTTTTGATACCATTGACCATGGTATCCTTCTGGATAGGCTAAGGGGGTTGAGAGTAGGAGGCACTGCTTGGCAGTAGTTCCGCTCCTATCTCAACGGCTGATTCCAGAAGGTGGGGGACTTTGGCTCTGTGCCATGGCAGCTATGCCATGGAGTTCCACAGGGGTCTATTCTGTCCCCCTTGCTCTTCAACATCTACACGAAACCGCTGGGAGGTCATCCGGAGGTGTGGACTACGGAATCATCAGTACACTGATGATATCCAGCTCTACCTCTCTTTTTCAACCAATCCAGGTGAGGCAGTGGCTGTACTGAACCAGTGCCTGGCCAAGGTAATGGGCTGGATGAGGGCCAATAAACTGAAGCTCAATCCAGACAAGACGGAAGTCCTGCTGGTAGGTGGTTCAAATTCCTGGGTAGGTGACTTGGATCTTGTCCTGAATGGGGTTGCATTCCCTCTAAAGGACAGGGTCCGCAGCTTAGGAGTGCTCCTCGACCCGGAGCTGACTTTGGAAGCTCAAGTGTCGGCGGTGGCGAGGAGCGCTTTCCTTCAGCATCAGCTGATCCATCAGCTGCGTCCCTACCTGGAGGACGACTGCCTAGCGACAGTGATGCATGCATTGGTTACTTCTTGATTGGATTTCTGCAACGCGCTCTACGTGGGGCTGCCCTTGAAGACAGTCTGGATACTTCAGATGGTGCTGACGGGGACTGGGCGTTATTTTCATATAACCCATCCTTTACCAGCTTCACTGGCTTCCCATCGAAGTCCGGGCTCAATTCAAGGTGTTGGTAATTACTTATAAAGCCCTTAACAGCTTGCAACCCAGATACCTGAAGGAATGCCTGTGGCCATATTTGCCCTCCCACCCCTTGAGATCGGCAGTAGGGGCTCTCCTCTGGGAGCTTTCCGTAAGAGATATTAGGAAGCAAAGTAACCGAAGGAGGGCTTTCTCTGCGGTGGCACCCCATCTGTGGAATGCGCTCCCCAGAGAGGTCTGCGTGGCGCCGTTATTTGTTTTTCGGTGCCAGGCCTAGACCGTTGTATTCAAACAGTATTTTAATAATTTTTAATATTTATAGTTTTAATTGTGCAGCCAGTGTGTTTCCATTTTTAATTGTAATTGTGCTGTTTTATTTATTTTTTTGTTGATGTGAGCTGTTCCAAGGCTATGTAGCAATGGGGACGGCATATAAAAACTTTAAATAGATAGATAGATAGATAGATAGATAGATAGATAGATAGATAGAGAAATAAGGGGAATATCCTGATTCACTCAGACTTGCAAAATTCTTTGGTGGACTTTCTTTCCACCCAAAACCTCTCCAGTTCAGGATATAACATTATGAAGTGTCAGTTGGTTTGTGTGTCAGGATGAGAGCCATTCCATTCTGCATGGGAGTTCATTGTGCAACCATCGCCGAGGGATGACAAAATCAAAATAATCTTTAACATAAATAGGTCTACACTTTAAAAACTAGGTTTGTGGCCTTACATCCCAAGAACCCCTTGCAGTGATAAGCAAATGCAGTGATAAAACTCAGACCATTTCTAAGGTAATTAAGTATCAGGTAATAACTCGCCAACCAACTAGTGACCTTTCCCTGAAAATAACCACCACTGTAAGTGCATGAGATTACTAATTGCAAGCTCTCTTACTACAGAGCAGAGCCAAATTCTCTACAGTATGCGCTACATAGTTCTAGGCCAATGTTCCACTGCTGGTCTAATAAAACTCACTCCTGCAAAGAAATACTGAGTACCAGAGATTGAATTTTATTTCATACAATTTTCTTGGCAAAATAATTTGTTTGCTAACTTTATTCATTCCTTCCTAGCCCGCCCAAAATGAGAGTCCATGAACGTCTAGGGACGTTCTGTTGGCTCGATGCTCAAGTTTCTGTCGGAAGCTGAGGCCCCATGGGGCAGCACGATGCAAAGCACAGAGAAGCCACAGGCCAGTTTTCAACAAAAAGCCTGAACTGGGGCAGAACTAAAGCAGCTCAGCTGTCACGTTGTACCACAACGGCCGACAGGCTCTGAGCGCTTCTTCTGCCTCATGCTTAACAAGCTTGCCAGCTCTGAAGCTGCCTGGGAAGGGGCTGCATTGTTGGACGATGCATTGCCTCTTGCCTCAGGAACAGCATTATTTCTGCTTCTCCACTCCCTCTGTTAGAAGGCGGTTGCTTCTCTGCCGTGGACTGTGAAAAGGCTTCCATCTTTTCCAGGCTATGCACTAGAAAAGGCCCCTAAATGCCCTTTACCTCCGAAGCAGAACACTTGCCTGCCTTTTTAGGCTTCTTCACAAATGTGACTTGGGATGCCACTGGACTGGGGTTTTGCAAACTCTGCAAAATTGTATGGCACAATGAAAGGCTACGAGCTTCAAGTACAATGCTGATCTCTGAGCACTTGCTGTAAGCTTCTTCTCTTCAATGTAAGCTTCTTGCTTAACTTCTGAGTGTCCTAGATCTTCATATCGCTTCATGTTCCTCCTTCCTCCCTGTTTTCTTTGTTCTATCAGCTTAAATGTGTTTGTTAAACTGCATTTTAGTTCTCAACCTCTCACATCCTTATTTCCCATCAAAAGAATCCCTCTCCAGGATATTTATCTTGACTCTCCCATCTACACAGTTTAAAATTAAGGTGCTTGAATTGCAACTTCTTTCTAAAGCATTTCCCAGTTCTTCTTTTCTGCATGATCTTTTGGGCTTGGCATCTCATTTTTTAACTTCCCACAGTCCTCACTTTCCTTATGTATTTCATCTGTAAGGACACAGGCAGTGATAATAATATAAAGAAACATTGCAGCTGCTTCTTTAAGGAGCTGAGTTAGATAGGAGTTTGACCAGCTCAAGTAATGCAGCCACAGCACAGCTACCTTTTAAAAGCCTGCAGTACGTCTTATGCAGCATCCGCATGGCCACCTCTTGCAAGGGCAGCACGTGGTCCAACTCTGTCCCTATGGACTTCACCTCCGCTGGGAGGAAAACTGTCAACTGTCCCGAGGAAAAGGAGAGGAGCTTCACCTCTGACTGGAGAGCAGGAGAACCACAGCTGGAGAAACATTCAGGGAAGGAGATTTGTTTAAGAGCAAGGAAATGTCACAGGCCGTCAACGTCCAAGCCACCTAAACAATACATCATTGCCTTTTGTCAGGCCATGCTTTCCACAAACAGAAGTTCCCTTGTTGGGCCTTCTCTCCCCATGGTGGCAAACATGAGTCTTGACTGTAGCACTCCAGGCTGCAGCTGGGAGATCAGTACATCCTCTATGCTTTGTCTTCCATACACAAGACAAAATGCAGAGGAATGCTCAAGCTTAGCCTCCTCCTGGTCAAGCTAGAACCTTTGTGTGTGCAGGTCATCTATTTTAGATGGAGGAACTTCTAGTCATGTCCCACCTACAGCCGGTGCACACACAGCTTAGATACAGGCACATCAGTGAGAGCTAGGCCTATGGGAGCAAAGCCACAAACCAAGTCCACCTGCAAAAGCCCATGAATTCAAGTCGTGCATAAGCACAATCTTTTTCTCTTTCCAATGAAAGTATTGCTTTAATGAGTGTTTCAATAGGACTATGCTCCCACTGGACTGCACACCCCAATCCAAAAATTTAACAAGGTCCCCACAGAAGTTTTTATGGGCCAAACACTGCTTCATAGTGATTTATTTTCTGAAAAATCTATGGAACACCAGATCTGTTGTTTCATCAAATTTATATCCCACCCTTTTTCTCTTGCAAGGAACCCAAGGAAACTTACATAGTGTTCTTCCTCTCTTCTCACAACCCTGTAAAGTAGGTTAGGTTAAGAGTCAGTGACTGACCCAAACTACATCCTTTCCGTCCTCTTGTTGGAGGGCTGCTGAACATACTATACGCTGGGGGTTTGGTTCATGTACCTCTGAAGAGTTGTACTGCTTCCACACATTGCTTTCTGTGTCTGTTGCATTCAGACTTTGTATTTTTATGAAGATTCTTCAAAGTACCTTCTGTGTAACCATATAAAGCACAATGCAGAAAGCTGCTTTGCCTTGTTGTATTTACAGGGCAAATTCAGAATAGACATGCTTCTTACCTTACATATTTTGGATCAAACAGCTTAGAGAGATCAAAGGTTTTCCAACTAATGTGTCAGGAAAATAAAACTAATTTTCTTAGAGCTATTAAGCACTAGTGAATTGCGACCATGCTGTGCAGCATGTTTCTCTTCTTAGAGCGTTTTCTCGAAGCATGGCTTGCCTGGGTTCCATGGAAAAGGAAACCATAGCAAAGTCTGCCAATACAGCTCAGGAAAGATGGAGGATTTCTTGGATTAAAGCAGCCAAGTTGGGAAGAATGCTCAGCTGGTAACCTTCTAGCATGCATAAAATCTGCCCAACATCATGCATCAGGAATTAGAAACCATAGTAATAGGCTACACAATCCCTGAAGTCAAGCTACTTTGGTGTATCCACACAAAAACGTGCTAAGACGTTCCAGCATGACAATCCCAATGTGAGTTTATCAACTTTCATTAATCTCAACAGATGTCAGACAGCTACACACAAAACTTTCTTCAAAGCCTAGTAGTGTGATGGCTTATCCAGAAGGCTAGGATGAACACAATCGACTCTAGGGCCACAAATGATTTAAGCAAAAGTGGCAATGTACACAAAAAAATTTATTCGGGGAGATCATAGTTGAAAGAGCAAGGCAGTGTCTGAGAAGGAAACTGAAAAAGACATACCCAACTGTGAATTTTCTAGAGTTTGGTGTACTCTAGAATGAATGTGAGATTCAAAGGATTAAATGGCATAAATGAAAAAAGAAGTTGAGACTGGGAATCTGTGCTTCTGAAAAAGCTGGGAACAGAAGACTGAGGTTCAATCATGAAGCAAGTCTCAGTCAAGGATAAGTTATATGGTCTGCAGACCCTGAACAAAACAGGAAAGACAATGAAATCTTCCACATCCCTATTCCTTAAAGGGAGGCCAGGACCATGTGTGGGGCACAGTGTCCCAACAGCCTCCATCCCCATCCTATGGCAGCCACAGGGCGGGGGAGGAAGCCACTGGTGCCTAGAAGCTCTGAGATGGGCAGGAGGGCACTGAGACAGCAGAGGAGGAGGAGGAGGAGGAGGAGGAGGAGGAGGACATTTCCCAAGACTGAGGACTTAACTACAAATAGACAAACTACACGGACTGCTTTTGTTGAAGCCTGTGGATGGTAGCATAAAGTAAGGTTGCTTACCTGTAACCGACATGCTTCGAGTGGTCACCTGTGCATTCACATATATAGGCTCTGCACAGGGCTTGTTGGAAAGATTTTCCTAGCTAAACTCATTCAGGCAGGAGCCAGTGGGTAGGTTGTGTGAATGCACAGAAGACCACTTGAAGAACCTCAGTTACAGATAAGTAACCGTACTTCCTTCTTCGTGATCTCTGTGCATCACTCACATGGGCGATGAGAGAGCTTACCTCAAAATGGAGGGAGGCTGATGTCGCCAGCTGAGGACCACCAAGTGGACAGTTTAGCCAAAGGAGCAATCTTGCCTGACGTGGACACTGAGCTAGTAGTGCCGGAGGAAGGCAGATGGAGTGGACCACACTGCTGCTCTGCAGAAGTCCTGCAGTAGGATGCTGGCATGCAGTGCCAAAGATGTCACCATAACTCTGGTAGAAAGTGCCCTTGGTCATTCAGAGAGGTGCAGCCCAGCCCACTGGTAGGCCAGTTTGATGGTTTCAGTGAGCCAGTGAGTGAGTCACTGGGGGCTGATGGGTTTACCTCTGGACCATTCACCCGATATGCAACAAAAGGTCACTGGGACTCTTGGAAGGGTTCAGTATGGGACCGATGCCAGCACCCTATGCATACCCAGGGCTGATTCCACTGGGGTGGATGGTGTTGAAGAGCATGTTGCGAATACACTTTCTTGGTGCAGGTGGAATCATGACCTGACCTTCAGGAGGAACGTGTGGACAGGTCGCAGAACTGCCTTGTCCTTATGGAAAATAAGGAACAATGGATCGATGCACAACGTACAAAGTTCATTTGCCCACCTGACAGAAGTGATCGCCACCAGAAATGAAGACGTAAGTCCATGGTGGTCAAAGGCTTGAAAGGAAACTTCATAAGAGCCTGCAGGACCCCCAAGAGGCTCCATTCCAGCACAAAGGAACAGGTTGTGTAGACCTCTAAGAAACTGACAGGACAGAGGATGCAAGAAAATGGAGAAACCATTGACTGTCTCATGAAAGGAAGAGATATGTTGCCAGATATACTCTGATGGAGGATGGTTTCAGGCCTCTGGTGTGGAGCGTGTGGAAGAAGCTGATGATCTGTTACATGGATGTCTGATGTGGATTGAAGGCTTCTTTCCAGACAAAGGCTGTAAAGTTGCTCCATTTGGCTTTGCATCCAGGATTACTTGTATTTTCCAGGAACAGAGAAGGTTCTCCCATCTACCAAGCAATCCATCATGCCATTGTACAGATGGTCCCAGTGTCCAGGTGAAGGACCATCCCTCGGCCCTGAGAGATGATGTCTGGTCTTATTGAAAGACGGATGAACTTGCAGCTGGACAGGCGGAGAAGGTGAGCAAACAATGCCTGATGGGGCCATCACAGAGTGATGAGAATGCAGGAGTGCCCTCTCTCCTGATCTTGGTTAGCATCCTGGTGATCAATGGAAATGGCAGGAACAGGTAGAACAAGGTTCCTTCTCAGTGAAGAAGGAAAGTATCTTCCATTGAACCCTGGCTGATCTCAGTCCAGGAGCATTCCATGTAAGTTGGAGTGGCAAAAAAGTCCACAGACAGGGTTCCCCAAGTCTCCATTCACGGGTTCTCCTGGGCTTCCTGCTGAGGGCATCTGCCATGATGTTGTTGGTCCTGGCCAAGTGGATGGCCAGGACAGTAATTTCCAGGCACCAGCCCCAGATCTACAGTATGAGACAGGTTGGGGATGAAGATTATGTGCCGCCTTGCTTGTTCAGGTAGAACACCACTGCAGTGTTGTCCAAAGTGACCCAAACGTGTTTGCCCCGAGGAGGAGCTGGAAAGTGATCAGTGCTTTCTAGGCGGCAAGGAGCTCCAGGTAGTTGATACGTTCCCTCCAGTCCCACAGTCCCTGAGTCCTTCCTCTAGCACAGCACACCTCCCATCCCAGACATGACACATCTGTCGTCAGAGTCAGGTCCCATTCCTTGGGTGTGAAGGCAACCCTGTCTGCCAGTCTGTGTTGGCGGGTCCACAAGGAGAGGCTTGCTAGAGCTGAACACCAGGCGCTTCCGGATCAAATGAACCAGAGTTCCAGTGGCCACATCTATATCCTTGCAACCCGGACAATCATGACCATCACTGCTTTAAGCCCCAGGAATTGTTGCACTCACCTCACCATCATCCTGGGCACAACCTGGATCTGTGAAGCTATCCACAGCTTCCACTGCTGTGAGCAGTCCCCTGGAAGGTATGTCTGTGCCATTATGGAGTCTAGCCTCACTCCAACTAGGAGGGGAAAAGCACAGATTTCTTGGTGTTAATGCACACCCCAGTTTGCATGTGTCCCAGATGGAGCCCAAGAGATCTTCCTGGAATGGGGCAACCAGAAGCCAGTCATCCAGGTAATGGAAAACCTGCATTCCAGATGTCTTCAGGCAAAGAAGATATCAAGTCATCATAGATCGGCAGCTGGTCTGAATAGGACACATAATCAGCAGGATCCAACAACAACAAATGGTCAGATGGTGAGGAAGGCTGTCAAGGCAGGGTAGACCTTGTGTGCACAGGCACAGGAACCGGCAGCTGGATCGCACAGGATCACAGGAACCAGAAACTGAGCTGCAGGAACAGACACTCATGGTACCCCTGTGCAATAGGGCGAGAGCCCCACTGGTAATATCGTGGATCTGTGGGTCTCCACTCCCAAGGGTGATTGCGGTAGTGAGAGTTTGTTGGTGGCAGCAGCACCCAGCAGGGCTCCTGGTTCCTGGTTGGCAGTGAAGACCTGGACCATTCCAAAAGCTGACACCACATGCTGGTGCTGGAGAAAAGGCACCATGTGAAGACCCAGGACCTGGGCTTGGTGGTAGCATCAAGGGCTGCTGCTCCTGGTGCAGGGAGTACAGGTGGAGAGAGAGGTGGCAGGCTGGCCAGAGTTCAGGGTGGTGAATCGTGTATCTCCCCTTTGGAAGAAAGGGAACCACACGGCTGGCTCAGCCCAAACTGTCAAGGGGACTGACAGAGGCACTTCTGCAGGAACCAGTGCAGAAACTCCAGCAGGAAGAACTGGCAGCACAGGCATGAGTGTCTGCACAGATGACACCAGAGGTGCATGACATCAAGCCCATTTCTTGGGCTTCTCCTTGCCCTTCCTGGCCACCATTTTCTTGGCATCTGACACCTTACAGGCCCTCTTAGCCCCCTTCTTCACCCTCTCCTTTTTGGATGCTGCCCAACATGGGTGGCACAGTGGGAGTGGCTGTTGGAGCCCCAGCAGCTGCCAAAGGAGGGTGAGAAGCAGGAGTCTCCTGCAAGGTCGAAGGCACTCCAGTGGGATCACCATGACCAAGTCAAAGACCATAAGGGCACAGCTCCCCACCTCCGATTTCAGCTGGCCCACTTCTAAACTGACTTTTAAACCAAGAGGCATTTCATATTTTTTTTCTAGAAAGGCAGCTGCGATAGTTTGCTGCAGGCAAAAGAGCAAGGACCCATGGTACCAGAAAGGCCTGACTCACATGCTCTAGCCTCCCTGCCCCACTTTTGCCCTTTGTGTCCCCCAAAGTGGTAGTGCTTGCAATTTAAACGGCGCGGAGGAGGCAGCTGCACCAGCAGCAACAGCACGAACACTCGCAGTGCAGAGCTGCATGAATTCCGAAAGCAGGAAGTATGAGGCTGAGGGTCATTTTCTCCCCATCACTGTTTCGGCTTAGGTCTTGCACCATTATGCCCAAACATGTCGGGTTTACCTTACACCTGACTGCCGTGCTGGTGGAAATGGCAGCATGCCATGTTGGTAAGGCAGTAAAGGCAGCCAGGGAGGCACTGCAGTGAGCTGTGGGAAGGGGGACAGGGAAACCTTCACTCAAACAGCAGGTGAAATAGAACAGCTGGGAAACAGTGAATGGTCAAGGTCACGCACGGACCCTGCAAGACTGTGAGCATCACTGATGCCATGCAGGCACCGTTTTCTGCCCCACAATGCCACTTGGAAGAGTAACATTATGTGTTGACGGGCTGAGCTGCGATGGACTCCTTTCTGCCACCATTTTGTGACTGGTTCAGCCTGGCCCCCGCGGCTGTTTCTTGCCCTGTAGCACTGCCAGGTTTGTGACTTGCCCCACTCTACATGCGATAAATGTGATGGTGGGTCTCAGTAACTATGAACCCTCTCAGGGGAGCCCAAGGTGTGTGGGTTGTGGGTGTGTGTGTGAAAACTGAATTACCTCTCTAGTTTGACCACTGTTACAAAGACAGAGTTTAATAAGCTGGCCACAAAATTTAGGTGTCAAATACATTTTTTTAAATAAATTTTATTAAGATTTTTAAACTAACACTAAAAACATCAATCATCAAATACATCTGACGTACTGGGTCAGCCCCCTACTCATATTTTTTAACATTCCATAGCCATGTTTAAATCCATTTATGATAGCTTAAAATCATATTTAAATCTAAGCCAAGTCCCGTTTCTCTAGCCAATAACAGTGTCAAATACATTACTTGACCAAAAAAATTCATTCTCCATCTTCCAAGAAGCTGTTTTGCACTAGGAAAGAATAGCATGCATTTATTGTCATGATCTAAGGAGACAAAGCAAAAGAAGCAGCAAGCACTTGTTCTGAATTTTGCTCTTTCCACTACTTGAATAATAAAGATCATTTGTCAGAGAATTTGCAAGACTTCATCCAACAGCACCAAGCACAAGCTCACCTTCTGCAGGCTGACTATGCTAGGATGCCAACAGGACTATGAAGTACATTTCTGCAACTGCTGCTTACAAATATCCACCTTTTAATCAGATTTAAACTCTCTTTCTCCAGTGTAAGAGGACTGTACAGTATTCACAGACCTATTTGCATAATCACCTGACAGAGGCAACTCAGACCTACAGGGGCTTTTATCTGCAATTGCTGTTTTCTTTAATGGGCATGCTTTCAAGTGTTGCCAACAGTGCCGAAAGCACACAGAGAGATGCTTCTTAAAGTACGTATTAGTCCACATTAAAATAATGTGCTATTCAGTTTGCTAAAGAAGTAAGTTCTGCCACTAAATTACTGTCTTAATATGAAAAGTAAATAAGATCTAGCATGCTGCCCATACAGCATGAAAAATACAGGTAGAAAGAATGTTGGTCTATTGTGAGGCATTTTGCTTTTGAAAAATCCACATAACGGTATGCATCAACACACACATACTGTAGTGATGGAGCACATTATCATAAAATATTTATAAAAACTGCATTTTTTTCAGACAAGATTTCTATTGGTGTCAAACTTCATGTTCAATGTTCATTACCTGAAATGGTCTAAAATGTCAGGAATGAGACAGCTAGTCTTAGCACTAGAAGTATTCAGTATTCAGACGGTTAGTGCAGGAGATTTAGAACAATTGGAGAGAGCTGGCAGTCAAAATAATCTCTTCAAAGCAATACCATGTCATGAATAAAAATCATCCATAGTAAAATTTCACTCAAAGGGGAAAGCCTATATTTCTGAAAACTCTCAAAAGATAAAGTAAGCAATGTAATTCATGTACTTACCCACTACAACCAATGACTTTATTATAAAGGTAAGAGGGAAGCCCTTTCAGGTGAACATTGTTATCCATATAAACATATTGCAGTTCTCGGGAACGACCTAAATCTGGATTTAAGAGGGGAAAAAAGAAAATAAATTAACTTTCTTGCCAGAGATATCTGAAACAATTAAAAACTCTACTGGGCTCTGTGTGAGTGAATACATCAATAAAAACCCTTATTAGCAAGATACGTAAAAGTTATACAAAATAAGAAAAATGTTATTAAAAAAAAATTAATCCTGAAGTCAATCCCCTTCCACATTTCACATGTACTGTTTTGATACATTATATGAGTCACACAACGTGGTGGAAAAAGGGATGATACAAGATTTCAGTTCTACGTAATTCTTTTAGATGAGTTGCCAAGTCTGTTTCAGTAAGTAAGCTTGTTTGATTCCAAGACAAACAATTATGATACTAGAGATAAAAGAAAAAAGTATCTTCCTGCACATGTTATGATTAAATTGCTCTTGTTATTGGGGAAAAAAGAGACTATTCATCTGCCTGTCAGGGCCATCATGCCAAGCCTGTAAGACCAAAACAAGTAAGACTTGACATGTACGCTAAGAGACCACGGGAGTGTGTATCTCGCGGTTATTTTGTTCATAAAATGCATTATTTAAAATTTAAATATAAGCCTGAGGTATTGTCAGTCATTAAGTGGCAAACTAACCTCATCAGCTTGGTCGATACAATGTAAAGTCAGACAGAAGGAACCTGAGCAAGAGTTATACGCCTGTCCCATCTGAAGAATGAAATTTTGCCATGGGCTCAGAAAATCCTTTTGCAAGGTGCTCAACTTCGATTTGAACAAACAAAACTTTGGGGTGCCATTTCCATTCAGCCAGCTGACCGTATGCCAGCAATTCTGACATGGTCCACAATCAGCTGGGGAGTAAGGAACCAATGAATGATTTCACCATGACTTCGATGCAGAGTATTTCTCCAATTTAAGCATGGCCCAGTGACCAGAGTTTACAACTAAGACTGGGGAGGTACCTATCTAAATCCTTATTCTGCATGAGCCAGTCACTCTTTCTCAGTCTAGGCTATCCCAAAGGCTTGTTGTGAGAATAAAGTAGGGCGAGCTGAACCATGTATACCTGCCTAAACTCCTTGGAGGAAAGCCAGGGTAAAAATGCAATAAATAGATATAGTCCTGCCTGAATGCTGATTTATAGTTACAGCAGGTGGCCTGCTCAGAGTGTCATGGCCTTTGGAGATGGCCTACAGCCAAGCTGGCTGGTGATGATATGAATTACAGTCTAACACACCTGGAGGGCACCCACCCTATCTGGTGAGTTTTTGCAATATATACTGCCCCTGCTGGCGTTTGTTCATGGCTCTTTTTCTGTTTCATTTAAGCTGCTGTTTTCGTTGGTGATGAAATTATTTTTGTTTTTAAGTCCTCCCCTTCTATGTCACTAAGGAGAATTTGCAGATACAAACCCTAGGGAAGTTAAGAAACACATGGACACATGCAAGCAAGATCAGTATACTTGCTGCATTAGGACGTGCTCCTTTCCCATCTGGACGGTCTGCCAACAGACTACAAGTAGTGTCAAGCCAAACCACACAAGCTTTTCTAAATGTTCAGTAGTTGCTGATGTGAGTGGCTCTTACCACTTTCTGATGCCATTAAGATTTAAGCATCTGATCAAATGCTCTTTGCTGAACACATTCCTTCTCATGAAGTAAGGAAGTTGTCCATCAGAAGATACAAAGGTTGTTTTCATATGGCTTTTTAAGGCTCTGTAGTTTGGCTAAAACATTTCCACTTTCCTCTGCTAGAGTAAGAGATCAAAGCTTTCCTTCTAGAAGTGACCAAATGGTATGAGTCCTGAACAAACCCCAATTCAAGGATTTTGTTTTGCTTTGTTTTTAACCTGAAGGCACTGGCATATGCATTCCACATGGCTGAAGATGAAACAAAAGTTTGTATGTTTAACCCTACTGTGAAAGTAGGCAGACAGGAAAGTTATAAACTGTGGGTCAATAAAATCATCTTTTTATCATATTTTGGGAGTACTAGACCCACTCTAACAGAACTAATGGCATATCAATTCTGAATCAAGTAGTACAATAGAAAGTATTGACTATAATAAATAAGCAACATCACTCTCAAATGTCATGCTGCACAAAAGCCTGCTACTCTTTCACTATATTAAGCATTTAATTTATTTTTAACATATCCCATCTTTTATCAAATCAACCTCAAGGTGGATTCCTATATAAAATACAATACAAAACAGAAAACAAGCAATTTAGACCGACTGATAAAACAGCACAACCAGCAGGAGCCATAATAGTTCTTGGTTGACTTTGCTTGCCTCTACTGGATGGGCTCTACTGGAAGAATGAAAAGAAGGTTATTTGGGTTCAACAGGTAGTGAAGTGAACTCTGCCAATGTCCAAAAAAACAGGATAGTTTCTTGGAGCCACACCAAGCTGTTATTGTCTTCAGAATGTTAGGAAGAGCACAGAGATAATTGTCTTGAAGCTGCCTTTCCCAGTAATTCTGTGGGAAAGGACTGCTTTTGCTGTGAGAATGAGACTGTTGGCCTCACTAACCCAGCTTCGTCCCTTCTATGGTCCCAGAAAGGGAGCTTAGAGCCCATGTATACTGACAGCTTCTGAAACTGGGATTGGGGGCGGGGGCAGAGCAGGGGGGGCTATGGCAAGACTCTGTGTTTTGATATGGCAGACTCTGTATTTTGTTCTTGATTTTGAGAGAAGGATTGATGTATTGCTTGTCCAAGCAACTCTGGAGGCCCAAGAACCATCTCTTGGCCTATTCAGGGAACTCATGAGGCCCCAGGAACAGGGAATGCTGCTTGTTTATATTCTGCACCCATATGCCATCACTCTATGCAATAAACTGTGCATCATCTTTGACAGTGGTGGTTTTGTTTGCCCGTAACTATTCTTGAATTGAAAGTGAGGCATTTTCACCCAGACTCTAATGTTCTTTTCTTTCAGTCAATCTAGCAACATTTAGCTGTTTTTTGGGAGAAGGAAAATATACACAAAATTCATGCTTTATTTTTCCCTGTCCAGAAAAAAAAATAGCTAGATAGGTTGAAGGATAAGAACCCTAGAGGCTGGTTGAAGTGTCAGAACAAAGTTCTTGCAAAAGGGGTGGGGTGTACATTTCTCCTTTCTGGAATACCTATAGGCTGGAAGAAATGTGAAAAAGGTGGAGGGGACTGAGACAGTCAGGGAACAACTACAAATTAGGGTCATACCTGAAAGGGAGGGATACTTGCATCCCTCTCTGGGGGGAAAATCCTTTGCCGCTTAGCTTTTCAACTGATAGCTTGACAACTAGCAGCTATCAAGCACATGCAAAGCAAACAGCATGTAGTCTACTTGGTTCAATGTCTGTGGAAGCTGGACTTTGAGAATAGACCCTTACCAGGACACTGGGCAGCAATTTTGGTCCTTTGTAGCTGCCTACCTTTGAAGGACCAACATAAAACAATGGATTCTGCCAAAAATCAAGGGGTTTTTGTTCTCTGCTAACTATTTCCTGCAATCCACAATGGGATTGGTTGCCATTGTTTGAACATGACAATCCAGGATGGTTCAACAACCAGTATCAGAGGAAATTTGGGTGGCTGGCTGCTGTTGTACTCATGTCAAGACTGGTAATCACTGATGCCCTTTTCCTCTATGAAAATGCATATTATCTTTTCAAAGCCATTCAAAAGAGTGTTAGACAAAAAGTAGTGCTAGTAATGGTGACTGTTCCTACATTTAACAAATTCCATATTTTAATTATGTGTTCTGCGATGAAATATTTGCTTTTATTGGTTCTGAATCAGTCACCAGTCAGGTTCAGTTTAGGACCCTGGCTTCCCATATTATGAGATTTATTTATTTCTTTAAAGCTTTTCTATCCCATCCGACAACAACAGTCTTGGAACAGTACAATAAAAACGGACTAAAATAAAGCACAGCATCCAATAAATAAAACCCACATTAAAACCTACTCAACCTTAAAATAATGGGTGAATAAAAGGTTTTAGGCTGGTGCTGAAAGGAATAGAGTTAGCCAATATAGAGCTGGCACCAGGCAAACCTCTCTGGGGAGCACATTCCATAGCCGGGGTGCCGCCCTTCTCCAGATATCCTTCAAGGAGGGCTCCCGAAGAAGGACCTATGGACCAGATCTTAAGGGGCGGGGAAGTAAGGGAAGTAGACACTCCTAAGCCTTTCAGGGTTTCGTAGGTCATCACCATCACCTTAAATTGGGCTCTGACTTCAATTGACAGCCAGGGAAGATGGCAGAGAACTAGCTACATAGCTGGTGGTCCCTGTTAACATCCTGGCTGCTCTGTTCTGGACCAACCGAAGTATTTGGACTGTTTTCAAAGGCAGCCCCATGTAGAACTCATTACACTAGTCCAATTGGGAAGTTCCCAGAGCATGGGTCACTGTTGCTAGGCACTGCTCATCCAGGTAAGGATGCAGTTGATGGATCAGCTGAAGCTGAATGAAAGCGCTCCTCACCACTGCCACCACCTGAGACTCCAGGGACAGCTCAGGGTCGAGGAGCACTCCCAAACTGCATACTCTGTCCTTTAGGGGGAGTGCAACCCCATCCAGTACAGGGCTAAAATCACTTACCTGAAAGACTGAACTGCCTACCAATACGACCTCTGTCTTGTCTGGATTAAGTCTCAATTAATTGGCCCTCATCCAGCCCATCACCCTGGCCAGACACTGGTTAAGGACAGCCACTGCCTCACCTGGATTAGATGTGAAAGAGAGGTAGAGCTGGGTGTCATCTGCGTACTGATGACTCTGCAGCCCAAACCTCTGGATGACCTCTCCCAGCCATTTCATGTAGATGTTAAAGAGCATGGGGGATAAAAAGGAACCCCGTTGAACTCCCTGGCAAAGCTGCCATGGTGCAGAGCCAGAATCCCCCAGCATCACCTTCTGGAATCGACCAGTCAATTAGGATTGGAACCACTGCAAAGCAGTGCCTCCAACTCCCAACCCAGTCAGCCTATCCAGAAGAATACCATGGTCAATGGTATTGAAAGCTGCTGAGAGGTTCAAGAGAACCAAGAGGGACACTTCCCCTGTCCCTCTCCCTGCACAGGACATGATACAGGGCAACCAAGGCAGTTTCAGTTCCATCACCAGGCCTGAAACCAAATGGAAATGGATCCAGTTGGTCAGTTTCCTCCAAGAAAGCCTGGAGTTGCCCAGCCACCACCCACTCGAGTACCTTACCCAAGAATGGGATATTAGCCACCAGCCTATAATTGGTGGCTATCTCTGGGTCCAGGGTCGCCCTCTTCAGGATGGGCCTGATCACTGCCTCCTTCAAAAGGGTGAGGACCCTCCCCTCCCTCAGGGAAGCGTTAATGACCTCCTGGGCCCAGGTACATATCCCGTCTTTGCTTTGATGAGCAGCCACAAAGGGCAAAGGTTGAGCAACGAGGTGGTGGGTTGAGACTAGTCCAAGCACCATTAGTTTGCCCAATGTCAGGGGAATTATAAAGAAATGCCTAAAATCATTTCTATAACAAGAGATGCTGTGAGCAGTCAAACTAATAAATGTTGTGGCCATAAGATATATAATTTTGCCAGTCTAAATATATGAATTCATTCGTTTAAACTCAATCAGCACATTATTACACATCCAGAAACCACCAAGACTAATTTTGAAGCATGTTTTTTTCCTTTAAGCATGTGGGTTAATTTTTTTAATGCATTCAGTAGATATAATTGCAACCAGCCTGTGGAATCTATAAAACAGAACTGCAAACATGTGGAAAGACAACTTGTGTATGTACCTGTGACCATTTAAACCAGACTATGGTTAAAACCCTCTGTGAAGAAGTCTCTCCTACACAGGGCAAGAAAGGAGGGCTTTCATCAACACCAGTTGCCAGACTAGAAAGCTTTTCATGTATGTATAGCTCTTAAACCCAAGCCCACAGTCTGAATTTATTTTCTGAGACATAACTGACCCCTTCAGTAAAAGCTCGCCTTGAGGCTTCAATACTTATTCCAAAATGCAAAAACGGGATTGCCAGATTGTTTGCAGGACAGAAATTTTAAGGCATTACAATTAGCCTCTGTCAGTACAACCTGAAAGGAAGTAAAGAGGCACTACAACAGCTCAAAGCCACCTTAACCTTCTTTGCATTTAATGCCAGTTTCAACAGTCTCAACCATGTTGGTGTCAATGGAACAAGGAATGGCCAGAATAATATTATAGCGTAAGCATAATTTATTTTATTTTTATTTATTTATTAAAACATTTCTATGCCGCCCCATTCGCCGAAGCCTTGGGGCGGCTCACAACATAAGATAAAGTACAAAAATAACAATATAAAAATAACAATATAAAATAAATAACAATATAAAAGAAGTCGCCCTGGCCAGATAAAAGCAAATACTGTTAACAATTCAAATGATGCTTAAATAAAAAGGTCTTCGCCTGGCGCCGAAAAACAAATAACGACGGCGCCAGGTGGACCTCTCTGGGGAGTGCATTCCATAGATTGGGCGCCAATCCAATGAAAGCTCCGGGTCGAGCACTCCCAAGCTGCAGACCTTGTCCCTAAGAGGGAGTGCAACCCCATTCAGGACTAGGTCAAATCCACCCTCTCCGAAGCCCGATCCGCCAA